CATGGCATGATCCGGACCTTCCAGGTAGGTTTCTCAACTGCTGCCGGAACTGCTGCCTTTCCATCTGGGCAGTTCCAAAACGTGGGAGAAGGCTTACAAACATGTATACAGCTGCCAAGGCCACTATTTATCAGTTTTAGATCATGGGAGAATATGGTTTTACACTTGTCAACATTTAGAGAAGGCTGAAAGATCACGGGACACTTGGCAGCATCGGACTAGGCCAAGTGGAAGTTGCTGAAGTCGCCACATGTCAGTTATTGCATACAAGAAAGCTCTATAAATAAAGCACTCAAGGCTAGTTTGTAAGGCCTGCCTGCCCAGCATACAACACACATCAACTCAACATCTTTGCTATTCATGTATCTTTCATGGGCAGTTCCAGAACGTGGGAGAAGGCTTACAAACATGTATACAACTGCCAAGGCCACTATTTATCAGTTTTAGATCATGGGAGAATATAATTTTACACTTGTCAACATTTAGAGAAGGCTGAAAGATCATGGGACACTTGGCAGCGTCGGACTAGGCCAAGTGGAAGTTGCTGAAGTCGCCACATGTCAGTTATTGCATACAAGAAAGCTCTATAAATAAAGCACTCAAGGCTAGTTTGTAAGGCCTGCCTGCCTAGCATACAACACATATCAACTCAACATCTTTGCTATTCATGTATCTTTCATTTCCACAATGAATTTACATTATGTCTAAACCTAGCACCTTGCTAGTTCATGTATTTCCATTCCAGCAATGAATTTATATTCTTTTAGGTTGAGTCCAGTACTTTGTTATTCCATATAGCATTCATTCCGAGCAATGAATTAAGTCCAGTACTCTTTTGTTACTTCCAATCATGCGTTTCCTTTCTTACATTCGAAGTCCCGCACTTCAATTAATTTAAATTTCAGCATTTGCACTTCAATACCGTCTTTTTTTCCATTAACCATAGAATAGTTTGAAGTCCTTGTTCAAAGGCAAAAAAGGACCCTTCGAAGGTGGTCATTCCAGAACTTCGTACAATCGCCTGATCCCTACAAATTTCCAACTGGATTACTGTTCGGATTTCCACTTAGGAACTACTGCAATTCCTGAAATGCCCGCACACCACACTATTCCACTCCGCCTTTCCACGTGATCCGGAGGGCGGAACCGGCGCCTCTTTTCGCGAACTGAACATACAGTTATTAAGTACTAGTTAAATTTGGGATCTTCTGTTTATATGGTTACAATGTTTAGCTGAAATGTATTACAGTGCATTTCACAGTCTCACTTTCACGTGTTCAGCAAAAAGGTAATGAAATCTTTTCCTCACAAATGAAACACATTTTTTATTTAATTCGGCAATGCGACAGGAATTCTTACAGTCCTAAAACAATGCATGGTCACAAACTTCACACACAACCATTTTCACCAGTATTATAGAACTACCACGCACGCATGTGGAACCCATTTAACTAATACCATGTTTCCTAAATCAAGAGATTGGCACACCCCAATTCTTTTAGATAAGAAAAAGCAAATGACAAGTACTTACCTCTGCAATAGAGAGCCTTAGGTCATTCACCAGTATTATAGAACTGCCACGCATGTGTGCGGAACCCATTTAACTAATACCATGTTTCCTAAATCAAGAGATTGGTACACCCCAATCCTTTTAGACAAGAAAAAACAAATGACAAGTACTTACCTCTGCAGTAGAGAAGCCTAGGTCATTCATAATACTAGACTCGACAGAAGAAAATGTCCAACCTACAAAGCAAACGTAAACCATTGACTAGTTAGACATCAACTAATCAAACAACTAGTGCCAGCTCCATGAACATATACAATCATCAATTAGTAATTAGATTATCCAAATTGATGGGCTCTTTTGTTTTCTATTTCCTTTTTGGTGTTAATAAACAAGAGGGAGGGGGGTGTCAAATGTAACAAATTTAAGAGTATGAAGACAAATGGGTGTGCTTGTGTGACTTATTACCAAAAAAGAAAAATAAATAAAGACAGAAAAAAGTTTGCTTTAAGCAAAACTCCTACTCAAGTGGGACTAAAGACATTCTACCAAAAATCAATTTTCTTCTCTAAAAAGCAGAGGCCATTCAGTGACATAAACATTTTTAAGACCACTGCAAAGAAAGAGAGAATTTTCAAGAAATTAAGTAGGACAAGGACGATCTTTGAAATTGAAATTGGAGCATATTTTTTAAGTCTGTTTTCACATAACAGTTTGTGTTTAACATAATTAATGTGAAACAACAATGCCGGCACCATACTTCATCGCAACAATTGACAAAAATACTGAGCTCAATATGCAAACAATTCAAATATCATAGATTACCTATCAATATAAAAGCAATACAAATATATATGCCAGGATCCTCTCCTGTGTCATTTTCCTTTTGTGCCTAATGAAAACAACTAACTGTGTTAACTTCTCTATTTAATGGTGTTATGACATTGCATGCATTGGTGTTGCATTTTGTGATGTAGCTGTGTTGCATTGTGTCCAATCCCATTTGTACAGGATGAAGGCAAGGATGATGATGCGCTGTGTTGCATTATGATATGACTGTGTTGCGCTATAATTGTGTTGTATAGGATGAGTGCACAGGATCTCTTAAACAGGAAGGGACCCCAGTTCATACATACATATATACATACACATATAAAATGACTTATTATGAGCCTAGTATATAATCAAAATGAGGGCATCAATGTAATATAAAAAAGAATCCAAAATAGCAATACCATAATTTTAGGAAACAAGGATGGTTCCTATTCGAACAGCTCCTTCTTGAGTGAAGAACACGTTCACTGAATCTGGCCGAATAAATCTCTTAGTTTTTCCCTCTCTATATAGGAACAGGTATTGAGTACCCCATAGTATCTCAGCCAATGAACAATTGTCCTTTATGTTGTGAAATTAAACAGAAAACACAAAAAAGATATCAAACACACACAACAAGAACACACAAATTTTACTTGGTTCACCCAAAATTCAGGGTTACGTCCCACGGTTGCAGGGATTTCATTATAATGATCAAAACAACTGCAAATACAGATAGTTCAAAATAAATAAATACCCTCGTACTAGAGTAACATAACAAGTGCGTACCAAAATACCCCTCAAAAAATTCGGAATCCACGAAGTTGGGCCTTGGTGTACAATATCTATTAGACTCCACACTACCCATCACTTAACTATTATTAAGGGAAATGGGGACTCTTTCATTGGTAGGTGTACCACATGGTAGTTACCCCGAAATTTTTTTTTCTCTTTTTTTGATTAGTGTAGTTACCCAGAGATATTAAAGAATATATATATGTATATATATATTCCTAGTCCAATGCATATTGGGCACGGGTTCAAATTGGGCCTTGAGTTGCCTAACACATGAACCCGAGTCCGAATCGAAATGAATTTGAATTCCTCCTGTTCAGCCCAATTACTGAATTTCAAACAGAATTTTCGGATTGGATTCAAATTAGCCAACTTGAAGTGCAGCCCTTTGTAAATGACCCAATGTGAGTCGTTTACTTAGAGTCCGAGTGATATATATATACACACGCAAATATATGGTATACAATGTATTTATTTTTGTAATGCACATGGCATGGTATGAGTGAAATAAATAGAGTAATTCTACCTCTTAGTGTGAGTTCACACATTCATCCGTTGGATCGAGTAAATATCTATAGTGATTGATCATCAAATGATGACAACACTAAGCTCCCTCTTTATAGTAGTGTATATATACACACACACACACACATATATTTGTTTTTTCAAGTTTTTTTTTTTTCTTTCTATTCACCTAGACAAAAAATCCACACTTTGCTTTGCTTTCATTGTGAAATAACACCCCAATCTCATGAGCCCGGATCCTCTGTTGTAATTTTCGATGTTGTTGTGGTGTTGTATGTTTTTTCAACACCTTTTTTTTTCTTTACATGATTATATCTATTTATTTCAACCAGATTTAATGTGTTGAAAAATAGGTGTAATGTGTTGAAAAACAAACGTAAAGGTGTTGAAAATCATGTGTAATGGTGTTGAAAAATTACACCATCACTATAGCAGGGGATTTCAAGCAGGGACACTTCTCCTAGGTGCCGCGGTGGTATTGGATGCATGTCGAACATGCGGACACAGCCTAAACACGTGTCAGACACAAGTAGAAGTGTCCAGAAATTTGAATATTTTATTTTCTGGTTGAACGGGGACACGACAAGGGCACGTTTTGGACAGTTTCAAGAGTAAGGTCGGGTGATTTGGTAATAATTTTTTTAGAAAAAATTGATTTAATGCAATTTAAAATATATTATGGCCTAATTAAAAAAAAATGATATAAAATTTTCAAAAACAAAAATGACAAACATCTAACTCTAAGGCTATGTTTGGTAGGGTGGGTTTGAAGGGTAAGGATAAAATTAGTTACGAGGGAAAGGGAAGGGAAGGATAATTTTAATTTGGCATGTGTTTGGTTAATTAAGAAAGGAAAAGAAAGGGAAGGATAATAATCATGTTTGGAGAAAGAAAGGAAAGGAAAGTATTTCAGTAAATTTATTATTATACCCTTTTATATTAATATTAAAAAAAAAGAAAAAAAAAAAAAGAAAAGAAAAGTATGTAATATAATTATAATAGGGCTAATCTATTTTTAGCGTCCTCACCTCCATCTCTATTCTCGTTCTCTCTCTGCAACTCTCTCTCTCTCTCTCTTCTGTAAGTTCAAACTACAAAACTACAAGAATCCAAGTTCCAAACCCATATGTTTATCTATCTGTCTGCAAGAATCAAAGGTTCAAAACCCATATCGGCATATTGTTTCAGATTGTTCCAAAAATCAAAACCCATATCTTTCAGTTTCCATTGCCTGCTGTTCTAGTTCGGGTTCGCCGTTTCCATCGCCGACTGTTCCAGTTCGATTCGCCGTACGCAAGTTTTAGCCACTGACCCGCTATAAGCTTCCCCCCCCCCCCCCCCCCCCCCCTTTCTTTCTTTCTGCAATGGCTAACTTATATGTATGGGTTTTGTTTTGCTAAATCAACCAATCAAGGTCTGTAATTCTTGTTTTGCTAACTAAATCCTTGATTTTGTGTAGATAAAATTGGCATCACATGTATCACATGTGCCATTGCCTTCCCTTTCCTTCCATTTCCTCCCATTTTTGGGAGGATAATTAAATTACTGTGCAAAGCTATACTTAACCCTCCTTAGCCTTCCCTCTCCTTCCCTTTCCTTCCACACATTTCACCCAAACACAACTTTTTAATCACCCTCCATCAACTTCCCTTTCCTCCCATTTCCACCCTACCAAACTGAGCCTAAAATCCAAATTAGTGATTTCATTCACGATTTCATAGATAAAATGACTAAAATTTATTATTTACATATATAATAATATATACGTATCAGCGTTGTAATTATGTCCTATATTTTTTGAGATTTGCGGCTGTATCATGTCATATCCGTGTCCGTGCTTCCTATGTTCAAACCACAAGAATATCCCTATATGCATCAAATTAAGAAAGTATACAAACTCACTAATGCTTAATTAAATACCACTCACAGAACAACCATATGCGAAGGAACCGGAGGCAGTCACAAAGATGCTGAAGACAACCACCGCTGTGATGGCGGAGGAACCACTCACTTCTTTGCTGCCACCACCACCATTAATGCCGCTAACTTCAGGCTTTTCTTCAAGAATCAAAGAACTGTTTAGTAGTCCCTCTTCCATGTTTGCTTTGTTCATAAGCTGCTCTGGTTCAGGACTGGACAGAAGAGTTGGGGAAGTTGAGAAAAAGAGTTTTGCTTAGTTGTGTGTGTGTGAGAGAGAGAGAGAGAGTCTGCATTTGAACAGAAGTGAAACTAGGAAACTTAGTTGAGACGGGTAGTTAATTACTTTTTTTTCTTCCTTTTTTTTTTGTTTGCAAGAAACTGACACCCCCATTTGTCCCTATGAGGACTCCCCTCGCCTTTCACATTGAGAGGTAGAGGAGATACCACCAAGCCACGACCTTTGGTAGGTAGTTAATTACTTAAATGTTATTTAATGCGTTTTTCTGGGCATATGAGGCACCTCAAATAAGGTTTTCTATTGATATAATATTTGTCACCAACCCAGTGGGGGTGTGAATGTGATAGTCAATTAACTGCAGTATACCAACAAACATTAGTCTAAAGGGTATGATTTCCTTTTCTCAATCAAATGAGAAGTTGAGTGTTCGAATTGCGGGTGTGTTTGCATACACCGAGTTGTATAGCCAAGAATTTCATTTCGAAAACAATGATCAAGTTCATCTCAACTACACCTGTCAAGCAACTACTTCAATAACAAGTCTTGCATATTCCTATATCATGTGCACCTTTAGTTGCAATTAGAGAGAGGGAGAGAGAGAGAGAGAATGACGGGTTGTTACAAGACTTGTTATCAAATTGGATTAAAATATAAAGAAGTCTAATATTTTTCTTTCTTTTTTGGCCAACATGTACTACACAATCTGGGACCAGACCTTTCCCCTCTCAATCATGTCTCTGTGAGCTTAAATAATGACCTCTCCAAGAAGGAACAAGATCAACAATATACATTTTTGAAATTTTGTGGGCATTTTGTGCCATTATTGATCATCAATCTGATCTGTTTGGTAAAATGGGCTTTTCGTTCAAATTTTAGATGAATTTTTCAACAATTCCAATTTCAAAGTGTCATTTTCATCCTTCCAAATCCCAAAGTGAAATAAGTATAAAAATCAATGATTATATATAGTTATGTAAGAGAAAATTTACCGCAAAAGAGTTTGATCCTTTCTCTCTCTCTGTGGCTCCTTGTCGTTCAGGGGAGGTGGCAAAGGTATGTAATGGAGATGTAGTGGTGAAGGGCTGCAGAAGTAGAATGGCCGGACGTGAAGCGTCTTGCCGGAGTCCCGGATCGGAATCAGATCGCCGCCCTTTCTCTCTTTTTGCAGCCTCGTGGACGGACGAAAGAACCGGCACTGAAGGCTCGCGAAGAAGAAAGCAAAGCTCCTCTCACAGTAAACCGGTGTGTAATGTTTCTTTTTTATTTTTTTTTGGGTCCAAAAAATAATAATAATAAGAAACAAAAAAAAAATTACACGAGAGATTTCCGACCTTCTTTCCTTTTTGGTCAAATTTACTTACCGAAATTTACGAGTGAATAACACATATCTGTTAATTGTCAACGACCAAAAAATAAATTTAAATAAAAAAGTAAAAATAAATATAAAAATACCATTGCCAACAATTTTATAACTTTTAAATTTCAATTCTAGTATTAAAAGATATATTTATTGTAATAAATTATACTAATATATATAAGAAAGAAACATAATTATACCAGGCTCGTCATCCACCCCATAACTCTTGACAAAATCTCAAATGAGATTGGTGTTATTTAAAAAATAAATAAATAAATAAATAAAAACAAACAACCACTTTACAATTTCATAGAAAATCTCTTTGTACTTTTAGTTTTGTACAAAACTGAAAACTCTCTCATACTATTCCAAAAATATACAATTACATCCCTACCTCTACTGTTTAAAAATTGTTGCGGCAAAAAATCAACATTTTTTAACTTAAAATCTCTATAATATCTTTATTTATTTATCAAAATGGCCTTGAATCATTCTTAGATCCATCAATCAACTCGTAATGTGAATGAGTTATTCATATTTCCGGTCATATATACATATATATATATATGGTTCTTTTAAGTATCATTTTACAATTTGTTTTTCCTTTGTTGAGAGATAAAATAGATTTTTCCCATAAAGAGAAGATGACCTATTTTTACATGCTTAGATCCTTTTAGATTAATATTAATGTTCACAAATCTTTTTTTTTAATAAAATTTGGACATGGTGCTTATAGTGGCTTCCACGTCGCCGTCACTCTCACTGTCAATTTTGGACTTATAAATTCATTAAGAAAATTGACTATAGACCAACTTATAACAACTTGTGAGTAATCAAGGCTGCAGAGGTACGAGTCTATAGAACAGATCCGGTTCAAGTAAGAGGATTCTGAAGGCATGCTCCGCAAATTGGACGAGGATTCTACAGTTAAAGGGAGTGGCTAGGACAATGAGCAAGAGACGCGTGGGGAGAGGTGATCATACCTTTTTATGGGAGGACAGAGGGCCTCCCACTCTACGTTTCTGCTCAGATGTGATCCGCAACTCAGGAATCCCTCTTGGCCAGAAGCTTTCTTCATTCGTGCAGAACAATGAGTGGACCTTCCCAAATGCGTTAACAATACTAGTTCCAGAGCTCAACCATATTGATGCCCCTAGCAGCGAGCCGGATTCTTATAGTTGGATCCCATCTCCAACTGGGACCTTCTCAGTCAGCCACACAATTCACTGGCTTGCCCCACACCACCAACCAGGCCCATGGCAGCATCTTGTATGGAATTCATTGTCGGTACCGAGATGTAAGTTCACACTCTAGCTAGCTGTGCAGAAGCGTCTTTCTACACTTGATCGCAGTAGTATGCAATCGGCACCAGGCCCAAAGCTGTATCTGTTTTGTCAATCAGTGGATGAATCGCATGACCACCTCTTCCTTGACTGTTCAGTCATTCGGCCGATTTGGGCTGCTTTCAGTCGATTCAATTTTGCCCCATCCTCATGGCGTGATCTAATTGCTCGAGCCTCAAATCGTTGGCGAGGAAGACAACGACCCAACTCAGTTAACAAACTCCTGCTCTCCACTACAGTTAATCGAATCTGGACTGAATGCAATAATCGGAAACATAAAAATCAGAGGTGCTCTCAGATGCCGCTTCTAAAGCAAATCACAGATATGGTTCGACAGAGATTACTTACCAGGCGTGTGAGAGATTCTATTGTCGCCAGATGCATGCAACTGGATTGGGATCTTCCTTCTAGCTTCATACGCCCACCACCGGAGCCAGTTTGAGAGATTGGAGGCATAGCTCCAACTCTATGTAAATGTACCGGACTCTCTTCGGCGTTGACATCAATAGTCTACATATTTAGAACAGGGATAATTACACTTATCTCCCTTGAGATTAGGCATAATTACAAACAGTACTCCCAATGTTTTAAAAATATCATTTACCTCTCTTCAATGTGATCGCTGGTAGGTTGAATTAGAATTCTATGTAAATGTACTAATATACCCCCATTATTATATCAATATTAATAATTGATTATTAAATTACTCTTTTACCCTAATAACTTTTTTTATTTGGAATTTTTTTTTTTTTTTTTTTTTTTCATAATTGGAGCCTTAAATCTAGAGAGCCACCATCGTAACGGCGATAGCCACCGCCTCCGCCATTCCTAACTCCACCATAACCACCACCATAGCTCGGGTCCTGGGCTTCGTAAGCCGTACAACGATTTCTAACGTACAGGTGAACGACGTCAAATCCATCATCGAGCGACCCAGTGTAGAGACTTGCAATCTGGGCCCATATCAAGCAGAGAATCGGCTTGTTGGCGGCGATCGGAGCAGCGGCTTTGACGAATCTGTTTCAGGCAAACTGGAAGAGGAACCCCCTGCAACGGCGAGCTGAGGATGAGCGGCGGTGCTTGGCGGGTTGGCTGTGAGCGGTGGCTGTGATGGCAGCGGGCACAATTAATTGGAATTTCCCAACTGATGTGGTTCTCGGGAACGGACGGAAACTTGCTGGTGTGTCACTCTACGCCGGAAAACCTCTAAATGGGAAAATGTATCCTCGAGAAACGGCTCTTATGTGATATTCAGCGCCGGAAAATCGTGACGTCTATCTGAGGCTATGGCGGCGACGGCGGCGTCAATTCCGGTGAGAACGATCATTAGCTGCAGCAACCCGGGACGGAGGTGGTGAAATCAAAGCCGTCGGAGAGCAGCGATCGAAGCAGTAGTGATTGTTGGAGTGCCGGTGAGACAGACTTCATTGTAATATTACTATGATAAGCTCCCCTACCTCGTTCAATATCTCCTTTGTTTATGGATCTAATTGTGCTATTGAAATGAGGGTTCTATGATGTTGCATCAAATTCGCTGATTTAAGTTGTGAAACCCATTGATTTGTATTGGATTTTAATTTTTTTTTTCGTTCATTACAGATGTATATGTGTCCGCATGTGCTTGATTTGGTGCTTCATCCGTGTGCTCGAACAGCTAGATTATGAATTGGATTCAGTTAGTTCACAAATTAAGAGGGACGATTCGCGGCTGCTCGCGGTACCGGCTAGAACAAGAAGACGGCTGTGATGTCCGGCAACGGCGAGACTGAGTTCGGCAAATCCGGCGAAAACTAGATGGATGGGTCAGCAGATCTTTAGAAGGTCGCAAAGAGGGATATAGAATGTTTTCTGCTCCTTCGGAGTCCATGGGTACTGATTCAACCCATATGGCGGTGAGGTAGCCGATGATTGGCTCAATCAGGGGTTGCGCTCATGTTAGAATTCTAATTTCAAGTAGGAACTCAAGCGAAGGATTATTATGTATGCCTCAGTACCTCCATCAAGCCATCGCTAAGGCCTTTCAATCAAAGACATTAATGCCAGTGATCGCCACTAACCCCTATCGTCGCCGCCACTTTGCCTTCCTAAGCTCCTTAGTCTCCATGGTCATGTTCTTTGAACCCTTGAGGCTCTATAATAATAAGTTTTAGAGAGAGAAAATGTATACACAAAAGAATCAAATGTGATATTTGAGAGTGTACGAGGGTAGAAATGTCTTTACAATTATAATAAGGGCAAATATGGTACTTCATACTCAAAATTTGCTAGCATCATCAAAATCTTTATTGACTAGCATTGACCATCACCAGAAGGGGTTAAATGTTACGACGGAGCAAACCTTGAGGGAGGACGGTGTAATTTTTGAAACCTTGAGGGTACTGCTTGTAATTACGCCTAACCTCATGTGATACCCCCAGATTTCCGGATGCGGGTTGGCCAGGCCCACGCCCGATTACCCGAGGATATCAATCAAATTAGCATTTAACAAACACAGAATACAATATAGAAAACAGGAATGAATAAAATTTTACTGAAAAGAAACTAAATGGAAATCCTTTATTAAAACTTCAGAATAAATCTTATAAATAAGAACTAGTCTGTTACATCCAACTTCTCCAATTATAATACAACTCGGGAATCCATTTGGTGGACCCCTAATCAAAAGCCAATACTGGAAAGCGAACAACTAAAAAGAAGTCCACTGCTAAACCATGAAGAACCCCCCCTACATCGTCGGTAAAATGAGTAGTCGTCTCTGCTCAGCATGAACAAGCTCTAAGACCTGGAACCGTCCGTTACCTGAAAAATAATAGTGGGTCAGGCCCACGAACAAGTTCTATTATAACTACAATCCAAACAGAGATCCGATACGCAGATACATCCTAGACGTCTCAAACATATCTATATAGTCCGTAATAGATAAATATATATCCACACTACAGGACTCTCACTAACTATGCTGAGGGTCTCAACCTGAATAGAAGGTAACATGCAATATGCACCTGAATGGGCATGACTACCTAAGCCTAACAGGGTATACCTCAACCAACATAGCTAGCTACGCATCCTACTGCATATACGCACCCTAACCGTCGAGTATGAGACTCAAGCTCAAATCGCGGTACCATAATTTATATATATAAATTCCCATCCAAACCAATGTAGTGTCGCTCAACTGATTCATTGCCATGACACGACATATAATTAGGATTTAAATGTTTTAATTAAATCCCTACTCCAATTATATATATAAGTTCCTTCCAAATACAATGTTGTGCCGGTCAATAGTTCATTAGTCAAGACACCACATATAATCAGGATTTAAACGTTTTAGTTAAAACCCTATCCATCCTAACGCAGAAATATAAACAACCATCCAGTATGTCGTTCAACTGTTTTAGTTGACAGGATATGAAACCATGTAGGATTTAACTGTTTTAGTTAATCCATTCCGTATATATGAATGGGTAGGAATTAGCGTTGTGACCTAATCCATCCCTCCGTATGCCACCGTCCCATACTGGTGCATATATGCAAATGATCCATAAATGATGCAACATTATAAGTAGTACATCAAATAAAGTTCACAGTATCCATATAGTTGATAAACACAGAATTTAAACAAGTCATCAACTAAAAATCCAAAATCCATCCATGTCATTAATCGAGACAAAGTTTACTAATTTGTCAAGTTAAAATCCAGAAGCCGTCCATGTAATTAATGAGATAAAGTTTAATGTTTCATCAAGTTAAAATCTAGAATCCATCCATGTCATTGATACTTTAATTTATCTAACTTAAAGTTCAACTAACCCCTAATACAGTCCAGCAGTTGACAACATTATCAATAGTAAAGTGTCAATTTATAAATTCGAGAATAATATAATTTAAACTAGAAGACCAACCACGCATATTACATTCAGTTATATTTGCGTACAATCATACCAATCCTTTAACTTGCTAGACTCACAACAAGCAGTTAAATATTCCCTATCCGGTTACAGTATGCGATTAAATAACTAACAATCCAGGGACTGATATATTACAAATCCGATACCTAACAGAGCATATTATACTAAATTACATTTAGAGTATAATCATACCAACCCGTAATACTTGCTAGAACAGCAACCTATAGTTAAATCCTTCACTTCCATGGACAACATACAATTAAGCGATTTAAATTTCATGATGTCAATTTAGCTTAATTGAATAAACTAACCATCCTGGGACTTAAACATGTTATTTAAAATTATATGGAAGCCCAATTACAATTCCAGATTTGCCCCACAGCCCCAAAAACTGCACCTATAGGTGCATTTTTTGCATGGAGCCGGCTCTCCCTAGCCTAGAGCCGGCTCTCCTTGCCCTAGAGGCGGCTCTCTCCTTTGGAGAGCCGGCTCTCACTCATTTGAGAGCCGTCTGCACTTCTGCAACTTCTATGGCCTTTTGCCTCGTCTCCGGTCGCTTCCACCTCTTATGTTCTTCTTCTATACTGAACTTAGGAGTCTTATCTAATCCCAGTATCATCCCCATGGTTTTTTTTACAGTGATTAGAAGCAATTACAATAACCAATAACAATACCAATTTAGCATGCTTAAAGAAACGAACTGAACTAAACATGCACTAACTGTAATAGAATTTAATTCAACACTTACAGATCATCAATATAGCATATTGTAAACATATAAATCCCAGTTACTGATTAATTAAACCCTAGAGACAGTCTAAGGATGCATAGAACACAGGCAACGGGAGAGAGAAAGGAAAGAACTTGCCTGTGATTTCAGTTATGAAATTCCGGCATCGTGTCCACTGTTCCGGCAATACTGAGTTACTGTCTAGTCTCACCTTACTTCTGCTCTTCCCTTCTCCTAGGTCGGGCCTTGAAGCCCCAGCCGGAAAACCTCACAACTTGTTCTGTTTCTCTCAAAAACCTCTCTCTGTTTCCTCCTAATATCCCAGAACATGAATAGGGTCTGTGTTTTGTTTTTCAACCCTAACCAGCCGTAACACAATATATTTATAGGTGTATTGGAAAACCTAATTTTAATTCTAGGAGGAAACTAAAAACAAAAGAAAATAAAACAAAATATAAAATAAATAATATATAAGTCGGCTACAGATTTCATGGTTATATACAACCCTAAAATCCTATTAATTTGATTTACCCTATATACACATATACTAAAAAAAAAATATGTATAATCATCCATGGATATTAACAGTACCCGTTACTCTCCTATTCGAGTAGTCCATGAGACCCAACTGGTTGGTACATTGCTACTGTCCAAGCTCATCATTTTAAACCAGAAAATAAAATACACATTTAATCTAATTAAAAATACCAAATAAAAAAAATTAAATAAAAATTAAGCATATAATTAAATTAAATCCACAAATCAATTCAAACAACACGTCATTCAAATTCCACACATAGCCACATAAGCACTTAAAATAATAAAATAAATACTGAAAACAATAAAATAAATAATAAA